GTCCATCAAGAATTTGGTACATACACATAATGGAATATTATGCAACACTGAAGAATAATGGTGAATCTGCAGAACACCTCACAACATAGATGAACCTGGAGGACATTAAGGTGGTGGTTATGTGCCACGGACTTGGTTCCAACTCACAGCGACCCTGTATAGGGTTTCTGAGGCTGTAAATCTTTACAGGAGCAGAAAGCCTCATCTTTCTCCCACGGAACAGCTGGTAGTTTCAAACTGTGGACCCTGAGGTTAGCAGCCTGATTCGTAACCACTACAATATTGAGTGAAATGAAGTCTATCACAAAAGGACAACTACTGCATGAGACCAATGTTGTAAAAAGTTAAGAAAAGGTTTTCGTTTATAAAAGAAATAATCAGTGCTGGTTGTGAGGGGGAGGGAGAGGAAAAGGAAAATTATTCATGGGTTAGAGTGTAGAGTCATGTTAACAGGGTTGATGGTGCAGGCAATAGATAACAAGAGGAGACTGGCAGAGGAAAGATGAAGGCAGCCAGAGATACAGGGAGGGATGCAATAGTTAAAGTGAATAGAGGTAAATGTTGTTAACGGTTGGTACACGGAGGGGATTGAAATCGCTGTAGTGAAGCAAAGTAAACCTTTACTCAATTTACAATCAAAAGTTAAAAATTCAATAATAACTTTAAATGTTTTATAGCCTTGGAAACCCTATGGGGCAGTTCTACTCTATCCATCAAGGGTTGCCAAGAGTTGGAATCAACTCGAGGACAGTGGGATTGGTTTGGGTTATTTATACCTGTGGCTTTAATCCCACAGGTATATGGAAATGAACTGTCTTTGCTATGTTAATAAGACAGGATTCGTAGTGCAGGGCATATTTTAAATCAGTCTCTGTTGAGCTATATTGTTAAGTACCGTGGAGTCGATTCCAACTCATAGTGACCCTGCACAGGGTTTCCGAGGCTATAAATCTTTACGGGAGCAGAAAGCCTCGTCTTTCTCCTGAGGAACAGCTGGTAGTTTCGAACTGCTAACCTTGAGATTGGCAGCCCCACTCGTAACCACTACGTTACTAAAGGAGATTAAACAAGCCACAGGGAGAGTTCCAAAGCACCAGCAAACAGAAGTAGAAGAGACAAGGATTTGCCTCCAGGGGCTCACACACACAGAGAGAAAGCCATCCCCTGACACAGAGAGAGAGAAAGTCTTCCCCCGAAGCTAGTGCTGCTCTGAATTCAGACTTCTAGCCTTTTAAACTGTGAGGAGTCCTAGTGTGGTGCTGTGGGTTAACGCGCCAGACTGCAAAGCCGTTTGAACTGCAAAGTCAGCGATTCAAGCTCACCAGCCGCTCCTTGGAAACCCTGTACAGGGTGGCTATGGGTCAGAACTAACTTGACGGCAATTAACAACAACAAATGCCCTCCAACACAGGACTGCTAACCAGAAGGCTTGGTGGTTAAAATCCACCAGCCACTTCTTGGAAACCTTACGCAGAATTGCTATGAGTCTGACCCTACTTGACAACACTTATAATAACTGCAACAAAGCCACCCTCTTATGGTAGCACTAGAAAACTAAGGCAGCCAGTCTCAGGCTTCTCTTTGAAAAGCATCATTCTAGAACTTTCTTTGAAAACCATTCTCCAGAACTCAGCTCGCCCTAACTTCATGGCCCTGCTTTAAAAGGTGCATCTGAACAACTCCTCATCCTCATCTACTCTTCCCAAACCTCCCCCACTCCTCCCAGGACAGACTCAAGAACAATCTAGAAACTACAGTGCCAGAAGTTCCCTCCACTGTCACTAGATGCATCTAGAACTATCCGCCCGGTCTCATTCTCCCCACCCTCCACTGTCCCAGGCATCCCTCATGCTACTGGCACCCACCCAACCTCCTGCCCCCAGGGCCTCACGTGACCCTCACCAAAGGCTCTCTTGGGCTGCACCAGGCGAAGAGTGAAGGGCTGAGACTTGGGCAGCTCCCGAAGCATCTTGGCCACCTCGTAGTGACGGCAGCCGACGATGGAGTGGTCGTTGATGGCCTCAATGCTGTCCCCTACACACACAGCCTGGATCCGGTTGATGATGCTGCCCTCCTTGATTCTCTGCGGGGACCCAGAGTTAGTCAAGAGTAACCCAGCCACCCTCCCTTTGGGTCCTCAGTGCTCTGAGCCCTTTGGGTCCCCAGAGAGGGGTAATGTCACCACTATGTCCCTAGAAAGAACTGCATACCAACCTTAATGAAGGCATAGCCAGCCCCGTTGTCTGTAATGGTCAAACCCAGCGCGTCCTCTGTCTTAGTGACCTCGACCTCCTTGGTCTCACCCCTCACGTGGGCAAAGATGAAGTCCTCCAGCCCGATCTGACCCCCAAGGAGTTTCTGCATGTCCACTTTGTGGCTGTTGAGGGTGCAGAACAAGATCTGTCCCCAACAGGGGAGGGACAGAATTAACAACAGTGCTCACTTCCCTACCAGTTATCCTGTCTGCTCAAAACAACCCAGAGGGTGGGCTCAGGGACCTGAGAGGGAAACTGAGGCCCAGAGAAACACACAGCTGCCCTGGGTAACCCCACCAGAATCCCTACCAACAAAACAAAAATAATTGCCATCAAATCTTTTCCAACTCATGCGACCCCATATGTGCAGAGCAGAGCTGTGCTCCATAGGTTTTCAAGGATGTGATGTTTTGGAAGCAGATCTCCAGGACTTTCTTTCGAGGCACCTCTGGGTGGGTTAGAACAACCAACCTTCTGGCTAGTAACCATTTGAACCCAAAAACTCCTCTCAAGATCTCAGCGCGTGAGAAAAGACCCCAAAATGAAGTAGAAGACTGTCTCTCCCACCTCCACGCCCTGAGTTACAGGTTTAACTTTTTAAGGTTATCTTTCTCAGTCAGCGCTGGATTCGCTAGCGCCCCCTGGGGGCTGCAAGGAGCACGAACCTGAGCTGGGAAATTCCCTCTCCATACGTAGTCCAGCCCTGCCCAGGGCAGCAGTTGGCTGACCTGTTAGGAGATGGCTTGAACCCCAGCCTCCAGCAGCACCCAGAACCCACAGAGGCGCTTCCCCAGCGGCCTGGGACTCGCTACCAACTGGGTCTGCGGAGTTTATTCCTGAAAGTGCAGGGTCCGCTACGCCAAACCCAGCCGATCTAGCTCTGGGAGAGCAAAGGGGTTCCAGGCCCCGAATCTGACACTGGCGTCTCTAAAATCTGGTGATCCGGTCCCTCCATCCAGGGATCCGGGGTCTCCATGTGGGTATGGGGCGCACCGTCGGGGAATTCAGCCTTATCTCTTGTCCCTCGTCCGCCACGCTGGGTCTCCGGGTTTGGGGTCCAGGGTCCTCACCTCGGTAGGCGCGATGCCGAAGGCCTCGGCGATCTTGGCGTAGAGCTCACGGACATTGCTGAAGCCCTCGATCTTGCCGGTGGGGCTGCCGTGCGCCAACTGTGTGCGGAAAACCAGGCGCGGGCGGGCGCGGGGCGCAGCTGGGGGCTCGGAGGGCGAGGGCGGAGGCGCGGCCGGGCGGGAGGCCTCTGCCCCCCGGGGCTCGCGGGCCGCGGCGCTCTCCATGGCCGGGAGCAGCACGGCCACCCTAGCGCGCCGCCGCCGCCGGATCCGCCGCTTCCTGCAACGTCCCCTCCCCCGGCTCAGGGCTCGACAGCCGAGCCGCCCGGGTAAGGGGATCCGGGAACCCGAGCTGCCCGGGAAGGCGACACCGCGAGCGGTGGAGGGGGCACGGGCCCCAGGTGTCCGGGCTCTGCCAGGGCCAGCTGCGTCCTCCCCGGGGAGGCCGGGCGGTCCGTGGGGGCCCGGTGCGGACCCAGAATAACAAGGATCATGAACAAGGATGCGCCCTCGGTGCCAGGCCCCGGGCCTGCCCGCGCACCCATACACTTAATCCTTCAGCAACTCTGGGAGGTGGGCAGAGCGGTCATCCCAGTGGTGGTTATGTGCGGTGGAGTCGGTTCCGACTCATAGTGACCCTGTACAGGGTTTCTGAGGCTGTAAATCTTTACAGGAGCAGAAAGCCTCATCTTTCTCCCACGGAACA